GTTCCCCAGACCTGAATCCAACTGAGCACATCTAGGACATCATGTCTTGTTCCATCCACCAACTCCACGTTGCACCACTGACTGATGCTCTAATCCAGGCGCCTCATGTACAAAGACTTGCGTGGATTTCATACTGAAACCTGGCGTACGCTTCAATCCAGAAAACTGTGTACGCACAACAAATCCAGATGAACTAAAGCACATTTCCTTTGTACATCTCACTCAACGTGGAATTGACCGCACATGTTGGAGTATCAGACTCCTCCCTCTCCACGCCCCCAATTTAAATATGCAAATTAGTATAAACAGGGCTTACAGGTGGGATTCCCCTCTCTGCACGATCAGATAACAGTAACCAGGAGGAACTCAACCCGTTTGAGCAGAGAGTCGCCGCTATTGTGGGTGACACTGCTGTCACAGGGGTGGTGGGAGCACACGTAGGTCACACAGATCACCCCAAGGTAAATATATGTTGTGTAACTCACAGATTTATTCATTATATGGGTCATATAATAATCTGCTCGCAGCCAAACAACATACAGGTTCTTGCGTAATCTTGCCAGGATATCAAAGAGGAAATCAAAGACTTTGTCTCATGTCAAATTACTCAATTTATTATTTTCTAACAGACAATGAGGCAGGAGAAAACTGAGACGCAGTCCCAGCCTCATGTCACAGACCCGGATTCCTCCAGCCGATCCTCCGGTCTGCTGCAACAGCCAGCTGCTGATGCCCGTCCGGGGCGCACATGCTTAACGCGTGCCAGAGGGATCAATATTAAGACAGTTAAATTATTTACTCACCAAGAAGCCACCCATCCCGCACCGTGCAGCTTCTCGCCTGTTCCCAACTACGCTGTTGGTCAGAATGAATGAGTCGTGTTTTGATTCAGGCCACCTCGTAACAACGTTACTTAAATGTATTTGCGCATCACAGATGATCTGTACATTGAACTGAATGAAAATGCTTTCTGTTTATATAAACACATCCATCTATTGATGGTGCCTTTATAGAAATGTGTGTGCAGTCGATAGCTCAGATTACATCAGGAGAACCGGCCTTCGCTACAAATTGCACTTTTACGTCGTCCTGTTCAACTGCGGTATGGGAGCTTGATGTACCTGGCTGACATTCTGATAGTTCCACCCCACACAGCTCGGCTCAATGTCGACTGGCACAGTCCCGATCGGTCGTCCAGCTCCCTCTGAAATGACCCTGTGGCTAGGAAGCCCAGTGGGTCAGCACCTGTGTCGGCACAGGTAGGACATGGCTCCCGGCCGTGTTGCGCTCCAATACTGGCCGCAGCTCCGCGCACAGTTCTAAGAGGATTGCCCTCAGGAACCTAAAGCGGCTGATGAGCCAGTTGGGTTTTCGGGGACCGAGAGGATTTTTTGACTCAGGACGATCCTGAGCCAAAAAATTCTCTCGGTCTCCGACAACTTGTTCTCTTGGCACTGCTCCATTGGCAATATCCTCTAACAGGTCCAAGGCTGCCGTTGTTGTTAACGGTATCTTCTGCACCGTTTTACACACACTGTTTTATCCACTCATCTGATTGCAAACACCTGGGTGTGTTAATTGTTCATCTAAGTGTCTCTGATGTGCACATTGAGGAATGACCTTCTTTTACATTATTTTTCACATTTTTACATCCCAGCATCACCTCTAAGTGTCGCCAACGGCTCAAAGCAATAGAAACGTGCGTACACCAGTCAATGAGTTGACATGGAGGACCGCACATTTCCACGATCATTTCACTCTTGATACATCTGAACGTGAGCCTGGAAAAGTGCTTACACCAAGTGTTTGCACGTACGCACCCTCTGTATATGAGGCCCCTGGTCTGGGAGGAGATCCCTCAGGAGAACATCCGCCACCTCATTCCACATCCACACCTCCATGGGATAATAATTTTGATTTACATTGATCATTTTTATGTTATTTTGCTCTCAACACATTCCACCATGTAATTAATACATATTTTCAACTGGAATATTTAATTCATTGAGATCTAGGATGTGTTATTTTAGTGTTCCCTGTATTTTCTGAGCAGTGTATAAGGATGTGAAATATAAGCTACTGTGAATGTAAATGTAAAAGTGAGTGTGGCCTTTTTCAACAAAGAAGTGTTTGTGGTGAAATATAAATGTTAACAATGAACTCAGAATCATGAAAAAACCCTGATTTGTCCCCTCATAAGTTACTTAAGGCCAGATTTCAAAAAATCGATTTTTCGTCTATCATTTATCGGTACCCTAACTTGAGCAGGTTTTTTTTTAATGTTTCCCACGGGAATTGAACATTTTAAGGCATGTTATTACACACCTTTACAAACATATTGGTGAAGAAATTGTTTGGTAACGATTTAGTTGCCAGATTCTGATATTTTTCCCTTGCTATGATTTACATAAATGACGTAAATTACAAAGATAATATGAGACATATGTTTGTGTTAAGATAGACTTGTTTATTGACTTTGTAGCACCAAATTTTGCTTAGAAACCACATTTCAACAGTAATATGTACAATGAAATAATACAACCCAAGTTCAAATCTTTATTTAAGTTTATAGATCACTTGCCAGTTTATTAGAAACATCTTTACCTAAACTAAGCTCATAGTCCTGCAGTAAATCCCACCTTCATGAAAGTATTAATGTTGAGGTTTTGTTGCTGTGGTTCCACTTAATGATCATTTTGCAGCCTGCACTTTGGGATATCATTTACCGGGATTGAAGTAATAAAGGGATGAAATGATAAAGGGATTAAAGCTGCGACAATCATTTGATTCATTCTCTGCCATTAAATTAAAGGTACTTTCATAATCAGGTAATCAATATGAGTTTTTTTTTTTTTTAGCAAAAAAAAAAGCAGAAATTTTCACATTCCAGTTTCTGAAATGCAATGATTTTCCATTTTCTTTGATCTTCTATGACAGAAAACTGATAATCTTTTGGTTGTGGACCAAATAAGACATCTGAGGAAATCATCTTGCACCTTGGGAATCACTGAATTACTTTTCTTTGCATTTTCTGACATTTTATAGATCAAACAAATATTCGATTCATCAAGAAATTAGCAACAGATTAATTGACAGTGGAAATAATCACGACTTGCAGCCCTAACAGAGAGGTGTGTCCGTTACTTGGCAAATTGCTACGATAGGGTGGAGTAAGCAAAACAATAAAAACCCCACACTACACTTCACCGCAAACTGCAGCTTCCAAGGTGACCATAACATCGAATCAGCACCTCTTCAAAATGGTTTCAGAAACTGCTACTGCAGGATTGTTACGTTACTTGACAAATTCAGGTGTTTGACAAAGACTGCAATGTGACAAGCAGTAGTTTATTGCATGTTTACAGCAGTGTAAACAAATAAACAATACTAATATGAATCAATATTAGTTTTGGTTTTTGTTTTCTTCTAGTTAAACCTTAATATGTATTGTAAATTCCAGCACTCAAAGGTCATCATCCAAATTTAGTCTTAACAGGTTCAGGAACCAAGTCTATGTAGGTCTTGGCTCACCACTGAACAGCAGACAGCCTCTAATGGAGTTTCCATCAGTTTAATACACTCAGCTCAACAAGGAAAAAGCAGCTCTCCGAGGATCAACATGATGTTTTATTCACTGCATTTACTCAGATTGTGTGTTCCAAGATCTTGTGCATTGTGTGTCACTTTTCTCACAGGTTTTAGAGGAAGACCTCCTTAAACGTACGAAACAGCGTGTCTTTTAGCAGCCTGCACACATGCAGCTGTTGTCACCAGGCTGTAATTAAATGTTGCCTTACATTATATGTTGTGGAAAACGTAATCACATGTGCAATTTTCAGCTCAAGTAAGAGCTTACAATATGCATATTCCTATTCTTTTTTTAGTGGATACATGAAAAATTATCTTTCGAACCCAGAGGCCACACAAATGAAACATTTACGAATATTTTTTTCTTTCACTGTGTTCTTTCAAGGTAGATAATCATGTACAGATTTTCCTTTACACTGGCAAAAAAAAATGTTTAAGTGATCAAAACTGCATAATCTACCAGTTGACAAAAAAGTAAATAATTGTTTTGATTTTCTGTTAATCATTTAGGTCATTTTTCAAGGAAGATTACCAAATATTTATTTGTTCCGTATTCTTAAATGTGGGAACTTGCTGCTCTATCTTTTCTTACATTGGAGTAAATTGAATGTTTTTGGTCTTTGGACAGCATGGCAGCCAAAATACACAACTATTGATTGATCTCGGCTGTATGAAATTGTGGCAGGTATTTTTTGGTGTTATATAAATCACATAATGAGTTGATCAACACAAAAACATAACTGGTCATGGTGAAAATGATCCTTAGTTGCAGTCGTGCAAGTCCTTTAAATCTTCTGGGCACCTTACGGACTGAATCAGTTTTCAACTTCTGCCACAGGGAAGTGTTGAATAATGCATTGCCACTGAGGTCTGGAATAGGGAAGATGTAAGAAAGAGGCACCAGTAAAAGTTCCAAATAAATATTTATTTTTTCCTGAAGGCAAAACAAAGCTGTAGCTGTACGGGAACATTCAAAACTCCTCTCACTTTGAAAATGTGATAAAACAAACAGCATGTCAACAGAAATGGGAGGTAGTAAGAGGGAGAACAAACACTTGTGAGAGCAAGCTGAAGTCAGACCTGCTGTTTCCTTAATTTCGCTGCGTCTTTCTTTCCCTCACGGTTTTTGATCATCTTCTCTGTTGTGTCATCCCGCCTCACGCTTTGTGTTGTACTTGTTTTGCAGTCAGTGGGAATGAGGACTGTCTGTGGTACGTGGATAAAAATGGCACCTGGCACAATGGCTTCGACTGCCCTCTCATCACATTCTGCTGTGGGAACTGCCACCGGCGCTACTGCTGCTTGGACGCCTTCAAGATGATCACGGAGCGGGAGCAGAAACGCTGCATGCTCTTCCAGTTTAGGTGAGTGCAGACGAAGCGTCAACAGAGTTTTAATTCAGTTAATTAATTATTAAGTTACTCGACGCCAAGATTCAGTGTTTGTGTTCGTGATTCAAGGCTGTCACTGCAGGATCATGTATCTTTCATTTACTATGAGCAGACTGATACGTTATTCTTCAGGAGGAAATTTTCATAAAACCTCTTTCCTGCAAGATAAAACCCTGCACTATTAATATCAATCCATTCATAAGGAAAAAGACTAAAATTAAAAATAAGAAAGTGAATACTGTGCTACAAAGCCAGAGACATCCAGGAATTGATTGCATGTTTTTTTTTCTAAATATATGAATTCATGTTTTTTTCTATGTAGTAGGGATAATGCTTTAGCATTTTGTTAAAGCTGAAACAATTAGCCAATTTGCGTATCATTGATCTGTATCAATTCTTATAATGAGTTAATTGCTTAAGTTGATTATCAAGAGAAAATACCAAGGATTATTTTGTTTGAGCTTCTTCGATGTGAGTATTTGTGTTTTTTTTCGTTGGACTGATAGTTTGATAAAACCAACAAGCTGAAGATGTCACAGTTGTCTCTGGGGAAATTGTGACATTTCGGAAAGTTGTCTAATATTTTTCAGACAAAACATGTAAAAACATACAGCACCATAGAAAAGTATGTGAATAGTAGAGTGGAATTGATGCTTGTTCACATTTAACTCCCTCGTTTCACAGTAGGGTGACATTTCATCGTACCACTGACTGACTTTTTCAAGTGCAGACAGGTGACAAAATAAAATAAAAACCAACATAAAGTGTCAGAGTGAGGTTTTGGGCTGCCATGTGCCACCAGGACAGTCTTAGTGCACCTTGGTGTTGATTCAAGTCTGTGGAACTCTACTGGAAGGATAACCGTAATTCTTCATTTCAGAAAGAAATTCCCTTCTTTGGTATGTTGAAGTTGGTGCTGGAGAGCAGCGTCTAACACGCCATTCCAAAATTTCCCATAGGTGTTCAGTATGGTTTAGATCTGGTGACTTTGCAAGCAATAGAACCATTCAGTGACCTCTTGTACCCAATGAATGAGGGCATTGTCAATCTGGAAGTGGCCACTCATAAGGATAGAAATGTTTTATGTAGGGTGAAGGTGATCACTCAGAACACAGACACGTGGACCCAAACCATGTCAGCAAAATGCCTCCCACAACCACTACAGATCCCCTCACTACAGAGGACAAAGTTTCTGACTTTTCCTATAACTTGTGTCTACTTGTGTTTTGGTAATTTGATCTCAAGCTCAAATGTTTAAAGTAGCAAAAGAAAAAAATAGTTTTCACTCTTTATGCTTTTGGACGGCACTGTATGTAGAAATTTTAAATCAGTGAGTAATTAAAACATCTGTTAGTTGTAACCATATGTTTTGCTAGCTCTTTTTGGAGCTTTCCGCTCCCTCTCATGGTCTTTGTCAGCTCAAGGAGTTGTCATGTGACTGAAGTGAACCGTAAGAAGTGGCTGAAAGAAGCTTAGAAACAACTACTAAGGAGATCTTTGAGTTGAGATCATTTTTTTCCACAAATTCTGAGCAACGTCTTGATGGAAACATTACAATTTAGGTTTAGCATAAATGCTAGCATTTCGCAGTAAAATTCTTGTTTTAACCAGTGGATTTAGAGTTTTGTTTTATTATTTCAATAAAGCATTCCCATTGAAATCATGTTTAGCAATTTAAAAAAAAAACTTTTATCATGGAACAACATGAGATAAAATATATGCAGGGAAATTGAAGTGTAACAGTTGCAAAAGTAAGAATGCTAACCTTGTAATCTAAACTGGCATGGACATTATAGGCACCTACTATATACAATATGAAGAATGAATCAAATGAACTAAAAGCTAATTGATAGATTTCAGTTGAATTATACTAGGGGGATGTAAATAGTCACAAATAAAGTGGAGAGTTAAAGAAGTTGCAATATGTAATTGGATGCATAAATCCTGAACTGGAAGTAAAAAAAAAGTTATATTCTTTGTGGTATTTGGATTATGGGGCAATAATAGTTCCTGTAAAAAGTGATTTAGGTAGGTAGAAAAAATGGATTGGCATTTCTAAACATGTAGAAAATATTTGTCATCATAAATTCTCCAAGAAAGCTCTTCTACAAAGACTAGAAACTCAACACTCATACACAGGCCTGTTCCCATAGTTCAGTGGCTGCACTTGATTAAATGACTGTAATATTTTCTCATTAGTGGTTCTGTCACATCAGCTGTGCATTCAGTGGTATTTAAAGCTAGAATCTCCCGTGAGGGAACGTGATAATGCTGGAGTAAGCAAGCTTGTACCTGAGAGGCTGCAGCATGGCAGTTTTCCTCCACAGCTCTGGAAATCATCCATCACCATCCAGCAGCGAACAGACAACCTGCAGCTTATTAATCCTGCTAGGAAATCAGATCAGTAGGCGGCCGAGGCTGAGATGAAATGGAAAGCTTTGTTGCTTCACTGAGATTATGAAGCAATGGAATCTGTTGGAGGCCAGGAGATGCAGGGTATACGTCATTTACTTAGATGTGATATTAGGGTCAGTGTTTGGGAAAGAGTGTGTCTGAATCAAAAGCCTCACATCACAACCATCTCTTCTTTCATCCTTCCTAAAGTGAGTCACAATTAGCAAGATAGAGGGGGAGGAACAACCTGAGGCAAGATATCAAAGTAAGAAAGGGAATGCTTTGTAACTTAAATCCTTCACTCTCCTCTTCCTCTTTCCTCAGCCCCACCACTTTAGCTGGAATTGCCTCCTCCATCCTCCTGTTTGTGGCCATCATTGCAACTATGGTCTGCTGCTTCATGTGCTCCTGCTGTTACCTCTACCAGAGAAGGCAGCAGAGGGGCAGGACACCTTATGATGGTAGGACATCTTCTCTCGATGCCATGTCTATGCAGACGACCATGAGGTTGTATTTGCCCTTCATAGCTGTCTATACTTCTTTGACTCACAGCCCAGCAGATCCCTATGGCCAGCTACCCAGTGGAGCCCATGTATGATGCGTATGGAAAACCACTTGGACCCTCTGACTACCCACATGCAGGTTATCCAATGGCGCCCCAGTATCCTGGCATGCCCCCACAATACCCAATGATGCAGCCCAGTCCTTACCCACCACACCCGATGGATCCTGCATACAGCCAGGGTGAGAGCAACATAATTTCCTCAACGTTTGATAACGACTTCCCTCTGGCAGAAATTGGACTGTAACGTTTCCTAGCCAAGAGATTATTTCCACATTTTGTTTGATTGTCCACATCAGTAGCAAAGCCATGTTTTAAAAAATAGACATATATCAGTAACTTTTTTCATCAGTTGAACGGTTGTCTTTGTTTAAAAAAATTCACCTTGCCTTTTGGCACGTCAATAATAAGTGTAGCCAGTGAGTTTCTGCAAGTTGTTATGAAAGGGATGTTGTGACACACCGTCATCTTTTGGAGGTGATCTCTTTTTATTCTGACAGTAAGAAATGATAAATAAAACCCACCATGTAATTAGCCGTCAGCTCTTGCTCCTCTCCCACATGAGAAAAGTACAAAAGGGTTTAGAATATGTACAAACAGTGGATGTTGAGCAGACAGTGGGGACAAGTGATGGGTTTATTATCTGTGAATAGTATAAGCAGTTCTTTGTACAGTATCATGAGGCTGACACAGACCATCAAATTGCACTGACTGGAAATAACAGGTCGGCAAAAACCTATACGAGCACCTGTGAGTCAAACCACAGGGCACACTGGCACAATATTAGCAGCTAGCAGGAGCTCACAGCATCCAGAAATGACATCCTGCAACTTACATGCAGAATGTGGGTAGAAAATGAAAATAAATATAAGCAGAGACCTTCATCACTTCAGGCACATTGGTACGTTTAATAAAACGGTTGATTTACAGTTGGCAGATCTTCTGGAGCCCTGATAAACATAACCTGCTAACGCCACTGTGCACATGTCAACATTTAACTTCATAGCATCCAGTGTTCCCTGCAGAGCTACTAGTATGGCTGCTGACTCTTAATTAGTCACAGTAGCGGTCAGGCTTTACCTGCACAGAAAAATATGTTTGGTGGTTTAATATTAGCTTCATGCTGAAGATTTGACTTTGTTTCCTGTTTTTTTCAGCCCCACCACCGTACTCTCCACCTCAGTATCCTGGTCACTGATGGGCTCATCTTCATACACACAGTGAGAAACAACTGCAGCTGAGAGAAATGACTGTTACAAAAGGAGAAGGCAGCAACACTCTCTCACACTCACTCACTCACACACACACACACACACACACACACACACAAACACGATGAAATAAACACTCAAACGCTACAACTTGACTAGCAGTGGTTTGCCTGTGAAAGAGAATAGGAGGCACTTTAAGGTTTTCTTTTTTTGTTTTGTTGTTGTTTATTTACAGCGTCGTCCTTCTTTTCCACAGTACTAATGTAAATCAGATTCTGTCCGGCAACCTGATGCCTGACTGCCCAGGGTGGGTTTCACAGCGGGCGTCGCATGATCCTTAGAGTGACGAGGTATCCATGTCTCAATGCTGTGCTGCCTCTTCTGCTCTGGCACACACACCTCAATGACAGGGCATCATCTAAAGAGAGTGCTCATTACCTTACAGAAAAGGGATCAGAAGGGATGATAGTACACTCCCTCTTTGTTTGTGAAAGAAAAAAATGCTTTGTTTCCTCACTTTTGTTAAATTTGAATAAATTGATTACTGCCAATGGCTACATTCCAGGTTATCTCTGTGACTGATCCACATTCTCCAGTTATGATAACATGATGTCTTTGTATCTGTATTTGATGTTTGTTTGTTTTTTCCACAAAGTTTGTCATAGCTGAAAATGCAAACAAATTAATAATAAGGGATGCATGTTCAATTAAGACAGAGACATATTTGGATAATAGGCAGATGGCTTAGTGGTTTTATGGTACCACCAGTGCTGTGTACGAAAGCTTTTGTCACCCGTTAGTTTGAACTTTGTCTTGTCTTTTTTTGTATCTGGCTTGAGTAATTGCTTCAAGGTAGTTTATTAGTACCACCCTTTTCATGTTCCATCTCAACTTCAGCATGCTACCCAGTCAAAGTTACCTGTCCTCTTCTGCTTCTTTTTGTGGTTTTAAATAAATTAGAGATGAATCTTAAGATTAATCCCATTACACCAGGTAGGATGACAGTGAAATTCATGTTAAATGTTTATTTCTTGTAACATATCGGATCAGGGGAGCTGCAGGTGACGCTGCTTGATTAAAACAAAATGTCCCGCCTTACAATAACTAACCATGAAAAAGAAGAGATTAACTATTTAAATACCTATTTTGTAAATCGGTTCTTCAGCTGAATATTTTATGATATTGTAACAGGTTATTTTAAAACTGTGTATTGTTATTGTAACATAAAATATGATGTTTTGGCATCTTTCCATTTAGTATTTATTATTATTGAAGTTACCTTTTACTGTGAATGGGTTCTCACCTTCTGGACAAAGCTACAAAGCCAAAAATGACTACTGTTAAAAAGAAAAAGAAGAAAAAAGTCGTTGACCACCTCACGTTAAAGGATTTGTGTGACATTTTGGGAAATACGCTTTCTAGCAGAGAAGATTGATACCTCTCGTACATGTGTACAGTACAGGGGTGAAAGAAGCACTCCTCTCCCTTACTTATGTAAAAGTACAGTATAGAAATACAAATGCCTGAAGTAAAATAGAATTAGCTGTAAAATGTACCAAAAGTAAAAGTACTCATTGTGCACAGTGGTCTGTTTTAGAATAACATATATACTATGCTACTAAATTATAATTATTGATGCAATAATGTTGCAGATGGTAAAGGTGAAACATATATTTGAATTTTTGTGGTGGTTATTTTGTATCAATAATGAGAACCTGCAACCTAACTAATATTCTATAAATGTAGTGAAGTAAAAAGTGCAATTTTTTCCCCTGACATACAGTGACCCAGAGGTATTAAGTAGCATAAAATAGAAATAGTAAAGTAGTAAAATTTGCACTTGAAGTACTTCGTATCAATCTGCTGTTGCATCATACCTTTCTGCCCCTTTTATGACAAATACAGGCAGAGCCAGTGGCCTGTTAGCCTAGTTTAGCATTAAGAGTAGAAACTTGTCTGGCACTGATTAAATACAAACATCCTGCTAGAACCTAGGATTTGTAATAAAATGTGACAGAGAATGTTGTGCAGCTACCTTATCAAAGTACTTGGATAAGTTAGATGGAGAGGAGACTTTAGTTGGGTTTTGAGAAAGAGCTAGGGGCTGTTTCCATTGTTCATGCTAAGCTAAGCTAATAGTTCATGTTAAAGTCCAAGGCTTGGGCAAGATGTTTCTCCTGACCATAACCAACAAGCAGATGGCTGATAGGTGGAATTTCTCAAAATGTCGAACTATTCTTTCAGATGGTCCCTTACAGTGTGGACTCTGGTGAGGTCAGAGCCTGCATCCTGTAATGGCGGCTGTGTTTAGCTTCCTGGACAGACTACAGCAGCCCCGAGCTCCTTTGTAAGCGGTTTAAACTGTAAAACATAATGTTGTTGTTGTCTGACTCCTACGAGGTGATTCCTGGATTAATCAGGTTTAATCTATTGAACAACTTTAATGTCAAATGAGGCGCATATTTTTTAAAAAAAGTACACAGCTGATCAGAGAAGCATAGGCCTGAGACTTACTGCTGTATCTTATCTCACTTCTCAACCATGCAGGAAATCAGACGAGAACTACTACCGCCAGTTTACAGCGTAAATTATTCACTCCGATGGCGACATCCATGTGTACAGATTTGTTGAGCCTTTGTAAAGCACAAGGAGAACGCTGGGATTTTCTTTGTACACATGTAGTTTGACATAACATTTGCTTAATGATGTTTCTGTTCATTTGTGCTTCTAAACCAACTCCATGAGTGTGTTTTAATGAAATTGACATCAGGTTGCAAAATAATGTGTCCAGATATGGCTTTTTGTCCGTTGTCATATGGATGGTATGACATTGTAATATAAAGTGAGTGAAAAAAAAAATTTCTATTAACATAAAATTTAACTTTGGAATGTAAAATACAATTGTCTCCTGTGTCTATTGATTTTTGACACACACGCACACACACGCACACACATAAAATCTAATTATATAACCTGAGTCAAAACAAGGTCTGTATAAATGTACATGATTTTGGCCACTAGATGTCCATGTTAACCTCCAAAAAAAAAAAAAGTTTTAATGTCATCAGATTAGATAGTTTCAGTGTCATTACACGAAAGCAACATATCAAGAACAAATCTTACACTGGGTAAAATGTACATGTACATTCACATTTTACATTAATTAAAAACTGCAAAGGTAACTTATACAATGCATGAGTACACACTACAACAACAGTTACATTAAATATGTAATTATAGTTGAAAAAAAAATCTTTTAATATTTGTACATTCCATTTTACCTTTATTGTAAAAGTAAATTTGCCTTAAATTTCTATTTTTATTTCTGAATTATTACAATTACAGTTTGGGAAGAATTTCAAATTAAACAAACAACAAAACATACAATAGAAAACAATGCAACATAGCACAAATAAAGGTGTAGGCTGAAGTTGCACCTTTTTGCACTTTTGCTTTAAACAAAACACAACTTATTTGACATAAAAAGTACCATAAAAAAATCACACTCTCTTTTATACCTGTGCTTACATGCTCTCCTAAATATATATTTTTATATTAGTTCTTTTACTTCTTTTAATTGTCAACTCTTATCTGTTCTATAAATTCAGCCCTTTAGCCAAATTACAATAGCTTTACATTATTCCTATATATGTTATTCATATATTATTATTCTCAAATCAAACAAATGTTACTGACAAATCAAACAAATGTTACTGACAAAAAATAATAGCTTTAAAAAGTTATAATTTTTTGTCAGTAACATTAATCTTCTTTGGTTGTTACCCGACTAATTTTTAACTGCTTCCCCACAAAATGTTGTAAATGTGCTTTTTCTGGTGAGGAAACCAGAGAACGTTCGCAAATAAAACACTGGCGTTCCTCACTGTGCCAGATATTCTAAAGTGAAAATGAACTATATAAGCAACCATGAACTGGTCTCCAATATAAACACAAATTGTGTAATAGGAAGTCTGTGTAAGACTGCTCTGGCATCTCTGTAAACTTCAGCCCTTCCCATTACCTTTAAAGGAGTGTGTACCCTGAACTAAATATGGACATGCACTTTCACAGGATTTCGAAGAATGTCCCAGCCTCGCAGTCCACTTTGATGATGCGAGTCTCTTGCAGTTCGTCATTGGTACCCCTCAATGCAAGGCTGCGAGTCCAGCCTCTTTGCACTGGGATTGATGCCTTTGGTGGCTTTTTGGTGAGCAGGACGCAGCAGGACAGCAGGACATCAGCCTCAGCCCATAGGAATACTCAGCTTCTCACCTCAGCAGAGAAATCACACAATAATCTGATTTAAAATAAAGGGATTTACTTGCTAACACCATCACTGTCTACAAAGAAGTCAACTTTCTCTTTTCTTCCACGGGTGTAGTACATTTTTTTAGGCAGTCATGTCCAGGCGAAAGGTGAGAGGTCTGACCCGTACGGGCCGCCAGGTCAGCGAGGACCCAGACCTGGACAACCTGCTGTCCACTCTCTCCCCTGAGGAGATGGAGGAGCTGGAGAAGGACATGATGAAGGTGCCAGACCTCAACCCAGAAGATGGGAAGATCATCTTCCAAGGAGAGAGCCAAGCTGGGCAGCCACCAACGAGCAACAATGTCCGGGACGCGACAACACGCAGTGACGCCAAAGGGAGGCTCAGTCAGAAGGAACCATCATTTGAGGTTAGTGAGGACACTAAAGACACTTTAAGTATGATCTGCATGTTTTAAGATACATTGCTCTCGTCATGTCTTTATGATTGAGTCTTTTTCATCAGTTTTTAACAAATAACCTGCAGGAAGATGACTTTAAATCAAAAAATATGTATGTGACTGATAGATTATTACACTACATAAAATCCACTGTTCCAGGCTATTCTAATCATAGCTTTTATGTGATTTTTTTCTTATTATTGTTTTGTTTGAAGCAACTGAACCTCACGCACCCTGAGTCCATCAGCTCAAAAATAGTGGTCTCCAGAGTTGACTTCTGTTCCAGGAAAAACATTGTTATACCTGCTGAGGCTTTCTTACATCTATTCCACATCCTTAATCATCTTTTCACCAGCAGAGACACACAGAGAAACATACAAAGGCATTTCTATTATTCCTGTGACATGCTGCAAAGGTTACGTTGCCAATAGAAATAGAAAAGCTATCCTAGTTTGGTTGCTGGTGGAGTAAGATTTCAAGAACTTTGTGCGTTGAAAAGAGAGGCACTCATGTCGATGGAGCAGCGGGCCTGCGGAGCTTCTTAATCCAGGCCTGATGGAATTCCTTGGTTGATTGCGCCTACGCTCACTGCCTTTTAAGGATACATCTGCCAGGGCCACGGCCGCACACAGCAAAACAGATGGAGGCTCGCAAATCAAACGCTTAGCTAACTACTTACTGCAAATGTATCCCTGCACTTTAAAAGACGGTTCCTTGTCCTTTTGCTGACTGTAAACACACATGCCATATTGTGTCAGAGAAGTTGTATGTGTTTACAGTGAGTAGATGGCTGAGGAGCTGATGTACAGTGAGGGAAGACAGTATAGCGCAAGTATTTGTACAATTAAGCGTCATACATGCTGTATTACACTATGCATGCCATGCAGTATATACTGTGTGTCTGTACGGGCAACTTCTGCTCTATAAACTGTGTATTTATTCTGCAAAGATGCAAAGCACCTTTGATTAATCCATGTAATTGTATATTTATGATATCATCATATTTGTGCATTTTCTTTCCCCATATCACATTCCTCATATTTACTGTTTGCAGGGTGAGTCAAAGAAAGAGAGTCGAAAGCAGGAATACCTGAGGAAGATGGGCCTCAGCCAGGAGGGGAACGACGACATTAAAGCAGGAATGCAAAAACAAGCTGGTGTCTCAAGTGAAAGAGATGTCAAGGTGGAAAACAGAAACAGCAAAGGTCCCGAAAGTTCGAAAGAGGAGCAAATTTGGCGTGCAAGTAGAAACTGGAGGCAGGAAAGCAGAGAGAGCGACGTGAAAGACGAGGCCAACGAAAAGGAGAAATATGAGGACAATAGGTTAAGGGACAGAAGAGAAAATAGAGACAGCATCGGGAGCAAAACAAAGAACATGATTTCCAAGTTACAGGAAAAAAAGGATGACAGCAAAGAGAAGGAAAAGAAGGAAGACTGCAGGAAAAGAGATGACAGCAAAACCAAAGATATAATCTCAAAGCTAAGAGAAAAAAGCGAGAAGGACTCAGGCAAGGAAAGGGAGAGGAAATCCGAGAGTATCAGGACACAAGGGCTGGTCTCTAAAATGGTTAAGCAGAGCAAGGTATCAGAAAGCCAGACTGAAGAGTGCAAATCAGAGGAGAAGAAGCCTAAAGCAGAGGAGAAAAAAACGACAGACAAAAACAAACTCGAGCGACAACCATCCGAGAAGGGCGAGGTGCAGGTGAAACATGACAAAGCAGAGAAAAGAACAGATAGAGAAGAGTTGGTTAATCACAGTGACCACGTGAAAGAGAAAGATAAGAAGGTAAACAACGAGAAGAAAGCCGAGGAGAAAAAGGAAAAAGAGGAAGAGAGGAAAGTTAAAAAAACTGAAGGAACTGAGAAACTTGGTAACTGTGTTGCCAAAAATAGCCCCAACAGCAAGGCGAAGGAGCAAACGGAAGAGGAGGAAGACTCGAGCATGTTTGATGAGCTGATGCAGCAGGTTCGGAGCAACGACCCCACCCTCGCTGAGCTCAACATTAACAACTCAGAGGTCATCAAGACCAAAACACTCATTGAGTTCGCAGAGGCTTTGCACAACAACACCCACATCAAGACGGTTGCTCTGGCTAATTGCCGTGCTGACGACCACGTAGCTTACGCCATTGCCGGCACACTACGAAACAACAAGGCCATCACCAGCATCAACCTTGACTCCAACCATCTCACTGGCAAGGGCATCCTGTCTCTTATCCAGGCACTGCAGCACAACGCCACGCTGACTGAGCTCCGCTTCCAAAACCAGCGCCACATCTGCGGAGGGAAGACTGAGATGGAGATGACCAAGATTCTGAAAGAAAACACCACCCTGCTCAAACTGGGTTACCACTTTGAGCTAGCGGGACCCAGGATGACCACAACGAACATACTGAGTCGCAACATGGACAGACAGAGGCAGAAGCGCCTGCAGGAGCAGAAGCAGGCCCAGGCCAACGGGGAGAAGAAGGGTACACTGGATGTGCCCAAATCCGTAGGTGGAGGATCTCGGAGGAGCTCACCCAAGGCTTCCCCCAAACCGTCTCCCATTCCTTCACCCATGCCTTCACCAAAGCTGACTCCTAGAAGAGGACCTGGGGGTCCACCACCACCTCCACCTCCTCCTGGGGGTGGACCGCCACCTCCTCCACCCCCTACGCTGGATGTAGACCGCTCGGGCGGTAGTAAGAACTCAAGGGACCAACTGCTCGCCTCGATCAGAGGAAGCGATATTAAACAACTGAAGAAGGTGCGTTAGAAGTAGCTTGTGTAGAGGTTTGCTCAGTTGCACTGCATTCACATAACTTACATTTTATTTTTCCCGCAGGTGCCGGTGCCAAAGTGGCTGCAGTAATGTTTCCTGTTGGAATGTAAAGTGACATAAAAGAGCGAGGGAGAAAAGACATCTCACCACTGGGTTTCTACGAGATAAACTCTACCTTCCTACTGCCGGTTGGAGAGCTGCGCTGTGGGATGCATGGAGAAAATGAAACGTGAGATGGTTGGAAGAATAGTCCTCACTATGAGTTCTCCCCTCAAACACTGGACCAAAAGGACTCTGTGGAGAATGAGTGATGTAGGACTCTCTGTAAGAGAGAGTGCCATGAATTTGTGGCTGTTTGTCTTACGTTCATATTGACGCTTTGCTGGTTATTTGCACTAGATAATATGAAGCCGATCATATAACATGTTGGCTTGTATATGCATCTGAATGTGAGCGTGGTGGGAGAGTGTGACGAGCTTAATGAGAGATTCAGATAACTCTTTATAAAATTCTTATATACAAAAGTCTATCATTGATATAGCGAACATTAATTTGACCATTTATTTATTTGTGGAGAGGGAATCCACCTTATACATGTCAGTTGTAAATCTGTTCAAACTGGGAATTCTGAAATGACAGAAATATCAGGGAATAAACTACCATGGCGGCCTGACTTAAGAAAATCTGAGTAAGACAAAAAAATAAAAAATAAAATTAAGATCAAGGTGGTCTTTGATTGTGTGTCTCATTGTCAAATCTCAAGACATCTCAGGCAGGCTTGGAAAGCAGCCCAGTGGGATCCTGGTGCATGACAAAGGATTTTTAGCATGGAAATAATTACATAATGCATTTTTATCAGGAAGTGCAAATGGCTGTCCTTCAGTATCTAATGTTGTGTTTTGTACAGAATCATTCTAGCCTGGGTGTTTGAACATCTTACTTAACTTTTCTGTAATACAGCTACATGTCTTAACTGTAGGGGGGTTTGGAAACCTGTTACAGGCCTAAATCAACCCTCTGGTGGATTACTGCCGTACTTTTAAGTGAATGTCATTTCTAAAGGAAATTCATTGTGATGAACAAAAATCAGAGTGGTGCAATGAAGGACACACATGTCTTGTTACACATGTCTTTTTTACGGAGCCTGTATGTCTTCAATAAAAGATTCTGATATGTTTGCATGTGTAATGTTATGCCTGGCTAATAGCAAATAGTATATGCAAAGAAAAAAATACAGCTTATTTTTTAAAATTATTTTTCAGTATGTTAAATCAAGTTAAGCATGTATCAGTCCATTGAGCTGCCACTTGTTTCTGTTGGGTTATGAGAAATATATATATATGAAATCTCACACTGTGAATAATATACTCAGGTATTTCCACTGTGTACATTCCTGTCCAGATCTAGTTGTTGCTAGGAAAACATAATAGCTACAGAGCCATATATAGATATGTATCCGTAGCCAACACCCAACCTTAACTATAAATGATATTTTAAGGACTTGCAGCTCTGTGTGTGAATCGTGACACCTGACTTATATAAGACTCAAAAATGTGTTTGTTTATTGTAACTCCACTGTGCCAAATGTTGTACTTCAGAGTTTGACATTACCGAGGGCTGTTTTCACTTTTAGGCGTTTCTCTGTGCTCACCTTAAATCTGACTTGTGAGATTTTGTGATTTGAGGGCCGGTTGTGGTTCAGTACGCAACAAGTAGTGTAACTTCTGAAATAAACAGTATTTGCATGCTATTAGATTTGTGATTTTCCAACAGGAACTAAATTCAATTTTAAGAATTCTCAGAGGTAAATGAACATTTTTTGGAGAAAAACACATCAGTCACAAAGTCAGCAGCATAGCATTTTTTAAAAACATTTCTGGAAAGCACTTTAATTTTAAGAATTTCTCCATCATCCATTACTGTGCTTTGGGCGATGAATATCTTTTTCAGTATCTGTTGCTCTTTACATGTTTAAAGCTGCATGGAATCAGTGGAAGCTTCTAGTATCTACCCACCAGCTGGAAAGGTGGCCATTATCCTGAGTGTTCAGAGAAAAAGAGGAGAGCAACAGCAGCAGGTCAGTTTATCTCACCATAACCTTGCCCCAGTCTCTGCATCCATGAAATGCCTATATTTGGTCATATCTAAATGAAGGCTTGCTCTTGCAAGTCATTCCTTTCTCCTTCCTAATAATGGGCTGCAGGCCAACCGTCTGTCTCTCAGCTGTAGCTGCTCTTCTGACCAACATTGCTGGTCTCAAATGGAGGAAAAAGAGGGGAGGGAATGAAAATGTTGAGATTACTGGTTGTTCGGTGCAAACAGTGGGGCTCTCAGGAATACATGGCCACCATTTGCTTGCAGAATAGAACTCAGTTGACAAAGTTTAATGTAGTTTTTTGTAACAGGACATGAAACCAGATTTGCTTTGTGGCTGATTCAAAAGAAATAATCTGAAACAGACAACATGTAAGCAGCTGATATAATTTTGAACCATGATCAGTCAATAAAGAATACATCTTAACTTCAAAGATGAATTTACAGTTAACCACAGAAAAACAACCCAAGTACGACATTGTGAGATTGGGTTAACTGCTATTCAATCAGTCTTGTTAAGTTGCTTCTTTGTTTACAAAAAGTATTTTTGTTTACACAGATACTAAAATTTTGTACAGGGGATTAAGTTGGAAACAACTGGTTGAAGCCTGAAGCAGACAAATATGTGCCGTTAAATAATGTGACACCCATCAACCACTCCTTCCAGAACCAACCAAACAAACAAAAATAGATTAAAATAGAAGCAATACATTCAATCAAATAATATCCAAACCTGAGGAATATTACATTGATCAAACCACTGAATGGCCTATCATTAAAACACAGTGGAAGCACAACAGTATTTTTTGACTTAGAAAATTTCTCTTGTTTGTCAAGCACTTCCAAAAAAGTTTTCATGAATGTGCTTGCCTGTTTTTCTTCAATTTTTTAAAATTTTTTACATTTTTTCTTACTTCAAAGGAGGTTTCATCTTGCTTCTGCAGGCCAAAATGTAAACCCATCGCAGAGTCTGCCACAATTAGTGTTGATGCTGTCTCTTTGTTATTTTGCTGTTGTTACTCCTCAGATCTGGAACAACCTTTTGCAAAGTGACTGGGAGGCCGAATAGGTGGACATCTCAAGTATGACATCATATCTTAAATCCCACTTGTTTTCTGTCTTGCTTTCCAATTTTCATTTGTCTTTGACTTTGAAAAGTGCTTGCTTGCTTGCCTGATAAATCTACGATAAAAAGATTAACTTTATGTTTAATTGTGGAAACATGCCTTCTTTGAAACACAAGTTCATCTCCATATTAAGCTGCAACAAATGATTATTGTCAGGGTTGATTACTCTGTTGACTTTTTCCTCAAAAATGAATTTGTTGTTTGGTCTACAAAATGTAAAAACATCTGTGAAAAATGTTGATGCGTTTCCCAAAGTCCAATAGGATGATTCAAATGTCTTGTTTTGTTCAACCAGCCAATAATTCCTCCAGTAAGTTCTGGATCTGCCAAGGGTCTTCTCCCAGTTAGTCTTCAAATGTATAAGTTTGCCCCAGAAACATTTACTTTACTGTCATAGAGGAGAATATTATTTATTTATATATTTATCGCTCATTTATTTCTCTCACGATTTATTTTGTAGCCACATTTATTTATTTTTATTCGAATATGTATTTATTTATTAGTTTATTATTGAATAAAATTGCATTTTAAATATTTCCGCTGGAGCTGACTCTACCATGACAAGTGAGAATGCTCGATAATGATCTTTGCTACCAGTATTTATACCATTATTTATGCCAGTTTTTATATTTGACCATCTATGTATTTGACCCCTGTCCACTGCACTGAGTTTGCTGTTTATGATCGACTGTTGGTGAATACGGAGGCCTTGGTGTTCCGAAAATATTTTAAACTCATATCGCTCACTGCACAATAAGATACCAAGACATTTCGTTGCATAAAGTATTGTCCTCCGAGAAGACACGTTCTCACAATATAACGCCCTATAATGTCTCTTAATGTAGAGCCTCTAAAAAAAACAACAACACGCTCCTTTAAGGCGGCACGTTGTGTTATTACGTCAGGTGGTCGATGAACGTTACGTCAGGGGGAACAGCGAAAGAACAAAATGGAGGAATATGCCAGAGAACCATGGTGAGTCCTAAAACCAAGACAAACATCCCTTTCGAGCAATATTTGGATATGTCCTGTCTGTGACTCAATTTACGTAACTACAATGTGAAGTGTATGTCAGTGCTGTTTTATGTTACAGCAGGCGGTATAATCCGAAACACGTGAAATCCGGCTAGCTGACTGACTTTAGCAGAAATGCTAACTTTACATGCAAGTGCATTGGCACTGAGTGCTAGCATCAGACCCGAACGGCTAAATCACGTTGTTAGTGACCTTGTCGGCTTTCTCGTCCACATGTCAGTAGATTCAGCTTATTGACTGCAGTATCTGATTTTATAAAAAGTTATAGACGATCTACAGTGAATGTTATGCGCCTGTATGACAGTTGTAGCTGTTTGGGAGAATTTAGGACAGTGTGTTCATGATGTTGCTTTAGCACATTGGTAAGCTAGCTGGATTAGCAACCTGTGTGCTATCTGTTTGGGACATCCTGAGGAATTCACAACAACCGGAGTAGGATATTTCGAGACAAATCCTGTTTCTTGGGAAACTGAAGCAGACTGTAGTAACTGTAACTAGTAGTGTAGATGAGCAGTTGTGATGATTTATTTTGTAATTCATTTCACGTTTACATCCACGGTCTGATATCATGCCACATGACTGTCCAGGGTCAGGTTAATTTATTACCTGTCCAGATGGTACATAGTGTAATAGCGAGCAGATAATTACAGGAAAGTCTAGAAATGCATTTCTGGATTGCCTCTACTCATTCTGAAACAGAACGTTCTGAAAATATTTTAAAAATAAAACAGTTCTTCCATTTAATTTGTTAGTAGCTCAGTATGTGCTCACTATGTGGTGATAATTTAAGATACCACATTTACAGTCAGGAAAAGTAATGTGATAATAGATTCACATTTCCCAGGTGTGTTAGTGGACATGCCTTTGTAAGTAAACAATGAAATAGGAAGTAAGTCAGCTAATGGAGATATACAGTAACGTGGTGATATGGTCGTATTGTGTTTCATATCCTATTTTAATGTTGTAATCTATGGATATAAGGCACAGCAATGTAACACTTGAGTAGGACTGAAACATTTGTCAAAATATTATTGATATGATAATATGGCAAAGTGAAATATCCAACCCCCAGAGGCTGAAAGATTTTAATTAAGGTCAAAGTTGTCAAAACATACCACTGTAAATTAAGCATTGTGGTGCTACTGAGATGGCCAAACCAATAAATCTTTTTTTTTTTTTAACATGTAAAGGAGCATGTGGGTTTGGTAGAGATGGCAAAAATGCAAAAACCATCATACCCACTAAAGTACCACGTACTGAAATATCTGCCATAATTATTTTTGTGAGCCATGCAGTCCTTCCACTGGACGCTGAACATCACTTAAATAGAAGACATGACGTTGCATATATTTGCTATATCCTGGTGTGTGTGTGTGTGTGTGTGTGTGTGTGTAGTAATATTAACCACTAATAAGCAAGTACTTGTTCCTCTTCTATCGTCCTTGGTTTCACAACCAAGTATATATCATTGTATTAGCACATGTATTATATTATGGACAGTGTGAGATAATAACCTTTACTAATTACTGTAATCTGCTTTTAGCCCCTGGAGGATTGTGGACGACTGTGGAGGAGCTTTCACCATGGGAGCTATTGGAGGAGGAATATTTCAGGCGGTAAAGGGCTTCAGAAATGCACCTTCAGTAAGTTCACTCCTCTGTTTCGACCTTGTACATTGCTGCCTGAAGACAATGTTTATGACAGACTACATACAACATATCACTGGTATGACACCTGTACAGAGCATGCGCTGTGTGGCAGGGCAACCATTCATGGGACTGTCCTAGGGGTTCATTGACTTGCTCAAGGACAATTTGACATATGGTGGAATGGCTGGGGTCTGTATTTGGTCTAAAGAGAGAATTAGCTTTTTAACACACGTGATATTGGAAAACATGTTTTTCTGATTTAGTACACTTTTCAAAACTCTAGGAGTTTTCAGTGACACTTGAGGCTTTTGGCAGTGATTTAGATCATTAATGTCACTGTAATCTACTACTTAGCAATTTTGACTTCATCAAAAAGCTCTTTGTGGAAAATGAATTTCCATTGGTTTATGTTTTTGTTGCTCTCTTTTGTAGGGGATGAGCCACAGAATGAGGGGTAGCTTGACTGCCATCAAGACTCGAGCCCCACAGCTTGGAGGTAAGAAAAAAGGCTGAATGGATGGAAATAGCTGTAGCTGTAATGGGCTGTAGTCAACTTGGCATCATGTTGTTTACAGTGTTTTATAATTCTGATATTGATGAAAAGTTAACTTAGTTAATCAAATTTTAGTTGATTAACTAAGTTAGTCAATCATTTTTGCTGTCATCTGTATGACATGTACATTCGTATATTGCATTAAATCATCATTTAGTCAAAACATGGAGAAATATACTACTTTAGTAGTGTTACTTTAAGCACAGACAGAAGCTGTGTGGAAGCTTTGATACTTTTTTCTGTTCTGTTTCTGCTAATGGAATTTCTTTGTAATGGGAGAAATAGTCATCAATCCTAGCTGACAGTTCTTAATTTTGGAGAAAACCTGTTACTGTTTAAAGTCTATAGTTGGCGACAAAGTGCAAAACATATCTTAACTGTTGATTAACGTATGTGAATCTTTGTTTTTGGTTGCAGGTAGCTTTGCAGTATGGGGAGGCCTCTTCTCCATGATTGACTGTGGTTTAGTAAAAGTGAGAGGGAAGGAGGATCCCTGGAACTCAATAACAAGTGGCGCCATGACAGGAGCTATTCTCGCTGCAAGAAGTGAGTAAACTTAAAGGATGCTGTCAATTAACAGTCAACAGAAAGCACATACATGCCTCATACAATTGGCAAATGAGGTTTTTGCTGTTTCACACTGACCACAGTGTACAACTAAGCTTGTTGCAACTCCACCGGGAGACATCCTAAAGACTAGTCATCAGCTGAGGTTTGCCATTAGATAGGCAGGGCTCACAAACGTGTTGTATTAATGCTTGATGATGGCTGTGTTTGGGATGGTGTCTTTACTGGCTTGATCACATTACCAACTTTTTAGCACAAGTGGAGTGAAGCAATGGACCAACAATTCAGTATGGCAACCCTTGACCTCACCCAAAACAAAGTGAATGAGAACAAGATGTTGAAGACTGACTCGTGGGCCTGTTACTTCTGCCTAAGTCTTTGCTAGTAATGTTTCAGTGTTATTAGTACTTGAAGAGCACTTGCAGCTGCCTATTGGTGCAGTTCCTGTGTCTTTTAATTTGGTGATTTTGGTGATTTAGCATTCCAGTCCCTTAGCCTAGCAATTCTCTTCCGTTATATATCATTTTCATACTAACCCACTATGTGTAAGGTTTTAAACCCTAACACTTTAGTGGCTCCTTGTAGTAGGTTAAAAAAAGACAAAATTGCCAGCTGCAGGGTATGTTGCAATATATGCGTCTCTAAGTTCATTTGTGGCCATGTAATTTTAAAATATCTGATGTCATCTGTTATGCTTTGTATAAATACATTTTAAACAGCTAGAATATGACTTCAGTAAAGGCAGCCAAACTGGATGTGGACGTGATTGGCACTGTTGACTATAGAACCATTTAAGTTGTTACAGAAAAGCCATTTTCCCCCAATTTTCCTCCAATGAATTTGAGTTTGTGGGATGTGTTGTGACTGAGCTGCATATCTTCAGTTTCAGTCATTATAATCTATTTTTAAAGACCTCAAATGCCTATCAATTTCCCACACAGGTATTTTTTCTTTTTTGTCCTGTCAGTGGTCTTTTCAGGACCCTGGGAGTACTTATGCATCAAGCATGATTGATGTCCTTTTTTTTTTTGTACTCATCTGTTCAATTTATTACGTTAACGAGGGTGACAAAATGTACAGCTTATTATTTTGTGGACTTTGGGGACCTCATGTAATTCCCAGGGACTGTAACAGATTTAATTAGCAAGAATATGTGTATAACATACAATATTTGAAGACATAGTTAAGAGCAGATGGAGATGTTTACCATAGAATAACGTCTTAGGTTTTATTGTTGAATCTACATTGTATTTGATATGTGGATAGTGATGTACTATGTGTATAATTTCTCTGTTCCTCTGTAGATGGACCAGTTGCCATGGTTGGCTCTGCAGCCATGGGAGGTATTCTGCTGGCATTAATAGAGGGCGCTGGAATCCTACTGACTAGGTTTGCCTCTTCACAGTTCCCAACTGGTGAGTGATGCTTGTGATACTCAAAAGTTTGTGTGATTAAACTGACCGACAGAGACTGAAGGATTTTATATGGAAAGAGAGCCCTGTGTGATAAATAAGTATATCTGAATCTCCCTTCTTCATACAAACTAATTAAATGCTGTTTATCAGGTTAACTTATTGTGGATAAAGAAACATTTTAGCAGGAAGCAGGTGTACATGTGGTGTGCCAGTTAGTAAGAGTGTAAATCATTATTTTTCAGATTTGGCTCAAACCTTAGTAAGTTATCTAGGCATCAGTGCTTCCTTATGTGTAAGATGATACCTGCTCTGGCAAAGAGAAATACTGACTGCACAGCAGCTTCCCCTCTGGTTGTCATACAGCTGACCTGTTTATCTTTGTTGACTGTACTGTTAGGTCATTAGTCACATCTCTACCTGCTAGCATGCTTTGCACAAAAATAGTATCATCACCATGCACATGCTAACATGAATTATAAATACCAGATCTATTATACGTGGGCATATGTTATGTTTTTTTATAAACTGTAAAAAAAGTCCTGTTTTCAGCTTGACCAACCTGTAGTTTCAGTTTAACCAGTTGGTTTTTAAAGCACACGTGTAATAAATAGTCTTTATAATAGAAGTGTTCTATTTAGAACACTGGAGTAACACAATTGACTTGTTTAGCTACTGTGCTTTTCCTGCTATATCAACTCAAAATGTCTGCCAGTTTGATGGCAAGTTAAAGCCAAGTTCATACAGTGTATTTGCACAGGTCATAAAACATGAATGTTTAACATTATAGGATTGAAAAAGTATTGTGCTCGAGAACCTATGAACACATCACGTCAAAAAAGATGTAAATCATTTGCAACTGAAATTCAATTTTGTGAATAGAAGAAGAAATACATTAACAACAAACAAACGTTTGAAAAAGATGGAAAACATTAGTTCTAGAAATGTTTCACTTGCTTAAAACAGGTATATTTGATAAAGAGAAAAGCCATGTGTGCAATAATAGTCAGGGGTTCTTGCAGTCAGTATACAATAAATCACAAGAAAACACTCTTGCATTTAAGATACCACACTTTTTTTTTTCTACTGATGATGCAAAATGTGCTTCTATCACACATGACTTGATATTTCAGTGTCCATGTAAACTACACAGGAGACATGATATGTTTTTTCAAAGTTTATTAAACTGCAAAAACATTTTTTGCTGTTTGATGTGTTCTTGCAGCTGGTTCACCATCTACCTTCAGTTGTACTTCTTATGGCACTGAGCAGCTCTTCTACTTCCTCTGTGTTTTGCATCATGGAACAATAGTGCACTTTAACCTCAATATCAATTTAACGTCAATTCATTCAATTTAAAATCAAGCAATTTTGCATACTTTTTTAAAAAATTAATTAGACCTAAATTATCTTTTGATTGACAAAAAATATTTAAAACCAATTCTCAGAACTTATTAAAGATAATAATAAAATGTTAAAAAGAATGTGAATTTTGCAGAGGTTACTTAACTGTAGCAAACTGAAGATACTGTGTTTTTGACTGGTGGCTGGACAGTCGATCTGAATATGCCATTTGGTATTTTTAAAAATATTTTCTGTATACTAAGAAACTAAATAGCACACTATAAGTAATTGTTAGTTGCAGACCTACACTACATATTCAAAAGCTGCTTAGAAGTGAAGGTAGCATTAATATATTGCTTTACTGTTTTTTTTAGACTTACAGTTGCCTCTCATCTTACTGAGCTGTTGATTTTTATTTTCTTCTCCAGGGCCCCAGTTTGCAGAGGAACCTGCCCCTTCCTCCATGCCCGCCCCTTCCTTTGGAGACTACAGACAATATCAGTGATATTACTCCCCACTTCTTTATCCACTAGGCCTTTTTGAATTCCTTGATGAAGTTACAAAGAAGAAATGGAGATGCAAACAACACACAAGTCACAACTGCACCCAACTACATGGACTGTCGGAGAAGTGAAAGACAAAACATATGTTCATTTTCCTTCTTTCAAGAGCCATGTACAGATCTGCCTTTTGCCATTCTCAGCCTTGTCATGTGCATCAGTTTCACCTAACAGTGGTCAAATACAGACATGTGGTGAGAGTTGCTTGATATTTGTGGGCTTGTGGGGACGAGGTGTGCTTTTTTTATTTTACAGTGTGTGCTGCATGTATCCTGACAGACGAGCTCTGATAGTGTTGAATATAGCAAAAACTCATGTCACACATGGAACATAATAAATTATATGATACTTATGTCTATAGACAGTAGAGTATTTCCGCTTGCATTCAGTTATGTTTGTCTTTTTTGCCTTTAATATGTCAAATATTAAAGGCAGCAATGCTTAGCTGGCCTTTGTATTTGATTTTATTCACACTTATGAAGGCAAACATCGATCAGACACAATGTCATTCCCTGAATATTAGTTTGTTTTAAAGTGATCTATTTATTTTATAATGTAAACAATTGTATCAGATTGTTCTATTTTATGTGACAGTGATTTTACATTCAACAAAGGTGTAGAAAAGCTGCATGACAAAGGATGGCACGGGCAGTTCAAGTAAATGGAGAAAGCAAGGGATTGATACATACGGTATAAAGTCTGTATGACAGATTGTACTATGGTACAATAAAGAAATAAGTTGTAAAGTGTGTCTGTTGGAGCCTTATGAATTTATTTAGACAGTGAGTAATGGTCTGAATTGTGGGACCAAAATTCATGCTGCATGACAATATCGACTGTCCCCACTAGAGGGAACTCCTTGCAAAAATATCCAGACGAGTCCTATTCCCTTTTCCTGGCCAAAAATTTGCGGCTGACTCCACAGATGTTTACAAAAGACACATAAGGGAGCACTTTTCTCTCACATTCCTTTATGTTTGTGTCATGCATGTGCTATCTCTTAGCTCTGTGCATTTACAGGTGAAGGACGCTGGATGAAAAAGTGGACGTAAAAGGATCGTGAGGTGACTGCTGTGGCGTGTCAGCCGTTTGGTATATGTTAGGGATCAGGGATTGTTACTCATTGCAGAACTGTATGCTTAAGGCTCCAGTCAAGTCACTAAAATGAGGCAATTCCTAAGTTCTGATCTCATGAATTCCCACAACAATAAATAAAGGTAAAAAAAAAAAAGAGGAAAAAGACAGCACCAGCAGATGTTCCATAATGCTACAAGTGGAGGATTCATTGCTGTCTATTACTGAGACTAGCTATTGTTTTCTTTATGAGTTAATCATTTGGTCTATAGATTGTCAGAAAATTTACATAAAACAGGAAATCACACGCTTATTTGGTCATACAGTCTTAAACACCAAAATATTCAATAACACTTTCAATGAAGAAAAAGAACAGCAAATGTGCATATTGGAGAAGCTGAAATATATTTCTGGCATAGATGCCTTTGAAAAAAAATAAAATATATTTGCTGAATGCTAAATTGGTGGTCGAACTTGTTGGTTGTTAATTCGCTGCAAAGTGGTTGTGTCACTTGTCGCTTAAATTAATATAAACACTTTAAACAGAACTTTATTAGAAGATAAGAAGCTGGCTTGAAAGTTTTTTATCAAGACCCGTGACTTGATTTTGAGTTATGTGATGACAACACATATTTGATTATTAGACTTAAAAAAAAAGAAAAAAGAAGAAGCAAATATTCACATGCAAGTACCTGAAACTAGCAGATGTTGTGGCTTTTTGCTTTTAAATGAGTGTTACGGTTTAATAATCAGACTTCTTTAAAAAGCTGCTTGTTTCATGCAGATACACACTAAAATCTAAATATATTCAGTATAAAACTAGCAAATATTCTAATTAGAGAACATGGGACCAATTAATATTGAATGTGACTAATCATTGAAGTCTATTAACATTTGATTAGTAACTCTAAATAAGTCTAGGAATCACCATAAACAGCATTCAAATGAAAACAAAATTTTGTGTGTCCTCTCAGGGGACTTGAGGCTGGATTTAGACTTTCCCCCAAAAGATTTAAAACATCTGTGACTCGTGCAGTTTGTTATCCAGATGACTAGTGATCGCTTTACACGTAACAAAAATATATCTTTTTAAAAAAATGTATGTTTGCATTTTTGTTATCTTTTACAGATTTCACAACCATGAAAGTAATAAATCTTTGAAAAGTATGCAATGCTTAAAAATAAGTTCTGTAAGAAATGTAAAGCTGTGAAAAATCACCAATGATGACTAAATTGTCTAAATGTGTATTCGTGTTGACATTCGTCGCTACTGTGGAGCCCCGTTATCATGCAAATGATGCGGGACGATGTGTCATGGCCTTTTAAGAAAAATGAGAAATAGTCAGGGTGACGTCTGCTGCGCACAGAGGCCGGAGGCAAACTGACACTTGCGGAGCGGCGAGAGGCAGCGAGCAAGAGACGGTGAGTGCAAATGCCAAACTTTACTAGATGCTAAATGCGGTCAAAAAAGTCATTTGCACGGGGCAACGTCGCGTCCACGCTTGCGGGGCCGTAGGTGGACGCAGCAGAATGCGCGACGTGTGTTTTATATGTCGGATGAACGAGCAGAATTGTCCGCAAGTACATACCGGAGTGTGCACTCCCATTTTAGTCAAGGCCAGGCGGAAGGGCAGGTAACGTTAGCTATGGGCTGTGTCTTTCCCCGAGAAAATACGTCGTGATGCAGGTTGATTTAAAGGCTGCCGTGTCCGGTTGACGCTTGAATTGTGAAATGAGCTCGTTTGCAGCGCGTTTCTGACCCGCTAGCTGTGTTTTGGTTGTGCGCCGAGGAAAGGAATGTGTCGGCTAGTTAGCTCGCCTGCTAACGAGCCGCGGCTAGCGGTTTGTGAAGTGTCGGCGGCCCGTAGCAGGCAGTTATAGCGAGCTAGTTAGCGGCATTTTGCTAACAAGCTTGATAACGGGACTTAGGGTAGTTGCTAGTTTGAAGCAAGATTGTTTATAGGCAGATGCTGGCCTCACTTGCCTGGATTATAGATTACGGCATTTTAAGGATTTATCTGTAAACGGGCTTATGATTTGAACAGAATTTGATGAATGTTATGGAACGGGAGCTAATATTGCAATAATCACACATCGACGGAGTGTGGTGTAGCCAGAGCCACAGATTGCAGGGACTTAGCATGACCTGGAGTGATAAGCATATGCTACTGCCGTAAGCAAATTAGGTAGATTCACAGTGAGATAACCCAAGAGCTCAAATGACTTTCTCTCTTCTGGGTCCAAGCTTGATGTGAGCCTGTAGCAGGTTATTTGTGCTGCTATGTAAGAGGAAATGTGTATGCTCCATCCTCAAACTATAAACACACAGCAGGTCTGCTTTATTATTTAGCAGATTATCACAGTTTTCTAGCGAAGTTGACATTTCTGCAAAGAGGCTAACTTTCGCAAAGGTGCACTCTTCTTTTACTCAGTATGAACTAAAATTTGCCTCATCCTGTGTCCTGAATCTTACAGTTGCCCGGGTTTTAAAGACAAGTTACTGTTGAGATATAAGCTATTAACCCCCCTCCTTCTCTTAGCTAGCCAGACTGCTGTCTGGAGTCTTGAACAGGAACAGAGACTGGAAGAGGTTATTTTAGTAGGTTGCTACTCCTTTTCCATCCTATCAGCACGACGCCTCCTTGCGCTTTGGAAAGAGGATGTGGTTACAGGTCAAGGCCTCAGCGACACAGATGCATTCGGCTGACAGGGTTTGTCAGTTACAGGTCTTTGTCATAATTAAGTCACAGCAAAGTTTTGTGTACCTCGTTGCAGTTTTGCTCTGACTCATGAGGGGCATTCAGGTTTGCAAAGGATCTGAAAAAGGGATACAACAACTGTAATTCTTTCTTAGTGTGTGCAATTTTGATAGAGAAGTTAATAAGAGACACACTGTCTTCAAAAAGTGAACAAATCTTAATATAATAATAATATTTTCCATTCAGGGCTGATATCAGAAATGTCTTTGTGTGACTCAGAAGTTTTGATTTCCTAAAAGGAAATTAGCACGTTCGCCCTAAGTCGGCTGGGATAGGCTCCAGCCCCCCCGCGACCCTAGTGAGGATTAGGCGGTGTATAGATGATGAATGGATGGATGGATGGAAATTAGTACGTGCTGTATATCAGATTAATTATCTTCTCATACGGAAACACCATTTCAGTTGTTACCACTGTCAAATCCTTGCATTTCTTTTTGTTTGTCTTTCTTTCTTTCTTTCTTTCTTTTTTATCTCCTGTGGTAATGGTTTATTTTACAGCCTTGTAACTTCATAGTGAAGGTTCCCTAGAAAGAACTATCTCGTTTTGCACTAATTATAGTAAATTAGAGATGGGGTTTAACAGAAATTCACAATAATTCATTCCGACTAATTGCCAATTTTTCTTTTAGAAAGCAGCACATTTCAAATGGGAAATTTCTGTACAGACAGACATGCAGTTTAATGTTTAAAAGAAACAAAATATATGATAAATGGACTGAAGCTTTTTTTTGTGGTTTAAATGGAGCTGTTTTTTCAAGGAAATTCTTCTTGAACTCTCCCACTGTATTTGAGCCTAATGCATCTAAATGAGATGACTGAATGCTCTTAGGGCTGTTTTCCCCTTAAAACAGTGAGTGTTAAATAAAATTATTGCTTCCAGGAATATGTATTTACAATAAATTATAAGGATTCTCTGTAGTTTTTACTGTACCCCTTTTCTTGACAAATTCTTCATTTTGCCCAAGCTCCATTTGAGTAAGTGATGTGAACTGCGGTCTTGGTGAATGTAATGAGCAACCAGGAGCTTTTCGAGTTTTTTTTTTCTCTACCCCTCAACCTCAAGTAGAGGTTTTCTCAACAGTGTAGCTCTTGTAATTGGCATGTGGGTCAACAAGCAAGCAAATACATGCAAGAGTGGGTATCTTGCTGCTAGCTTAACCAGCGGATGTGTGCATTTTCACCATTGCATAGTGTGCAAGATACAGAGGACGGCTGTCAGTCATACCATCCTGCTGAGTCAGTTGCTGTGACAGCTTCATTGCTGTCAGATTACTCTCAGTAGACCAGGAAATAGTGTATCCTGGATGTTGCGGTTTCACTGTCAAGCCTCCTATTCTTTACATTTAGTTTTGCAGTTTGTTCAGACTTTCATTCGCTGCATATTCTCGCTACCAGTGCCACATAATCCAATTTCCAGCCTTAGATGGATACATACCTTTGGCTGTAGAGGGTGAGTGGTGCAGTGATGTCATGGAGAAGCATGTTTTCTGTGGCATGTGGCTTTCCCTTGCTCCTTATTTGCTTGGGTTACTACGAGAGCAGAGGAACAGCAGCGGCATGTTTGTTTTGTTGGGAATGACAGTGTGTAGTTGAGGGCAGTGGAAATGGAGAGAGGTTCGGTTTTAAAAGCTGATGGCCTTAAATGGCCTTTTATGTGTGTTTGTGTGCGTTGCAAGTGTGTTGGCAGGTGGATGAGAGAGTACAGTGTTGTGTGCAAGACTTCCTGGTATGAAAGTTTGTATGCAGACAAGGATGGGAGCATCTTATTCTCTCATTTTTGGTTTACCCTTTTGTAGAACAGGATGCAGTTATGTGTGGAAAACCCAATAAGAAAGGAGACAAGTGTTGCTAGCGAATTCAATATCAAGCAAAATTTGTTTGGGCCATAATCAGTAAAGTCATTGGAGATGGTGAAT